AAAACATTGACACGGACGACGGACGACGGACGACGACGACGACGGAGGACAATCACTCATATGATAAGCTCCGCTCGACAAAGTCGACAGCGGAGCTAAAAACCAAGTGTCTTCAAGTAATAATCAAAGAAAAGCTTAGAAAGAACTCCCATGTGCTGAGAGTTTGGAGACATATTAAAAATGAATTAGCCTTACAAACAAGATGCTTGGCAACTAATATTTGTCTGCTATTTAAGATTCACATTTACAGATGTACTTTTACAACATAAAAACAATGTAATCCGCATTATTGAAATTTATAATACTTACAGAAAATACCGGTATATTTGATTTTACATCTGTGGTTTTACAGTCTAATTTATTCCAGTGCACCTCTACCACAAATTCGATTTGAATCTGATTCGTTTGAGATATTAGAAATTGGTTAATAATAATTAGTTAATCAATATAAATGCCAAACTATTTAAATAGTTGCATTGTCTGAAGAGTATATATGTACCAAGATTCTTTGAAATAATATATCATGGCCATGAGATATTGATGGAAAATCTGTAATCTGACTAATTATTATGCAAATCATGTAATTAATATACAGATTGTAATGTAAAGCTAGTGTGCAATGTAATATACCATCAATGTACCAAGTTTCATTAAAATGTGATTTTAAGATATCGATGGAAAATCATACTATTATGAAATATCATGCAAATTAGGTGTGCATTGTCCATGTATCCATGTAACAAGTTTCATTGAAATGTAATGATTAGTACTTGAAGATATCACGACGAAATTAACAATCTGAAAGAGGTCCACATATAGTACCTATATATGTAATATCAAAGCAATTGCAGTTTTTAACAATAAGTCGAAAATATCACTTTTTACCAAAAAAGGCAAAAATATTCATCCAAATTAGAGAATTGAAGATATCCTCATGAAATAAACAAATCTTAGAGAGGACCACATTTAGTGCCAATATATGTAATATCAAAGCAATTGGACTTGCGGTTTTTAACAAGAAGTCGAAAATATCACTTTTTTACCGAAAATGACAAAAATAATCATAAAAATTAGTGAATTAAAGATATCATCATGAAATGAACAAATCTGAGAGAGGTCCACATGTAGTATACATATATGTAATATCAAAGCAATTGGAATTGCGGTTTTTAACAAGAAGTCGAAAATATCACTTTTTACCATAAATGACAAAAATATTCATCAAAATTAGAGAATTGAAGATATCATCATGAAATGAACAAATCTGAGAGAGGTCCACATGTAGTACCTATATATGTAATATCAAAGCAATTGTACTTGCGGTTTTTAACAATAAGTTGAAAATATCACTTTTTACCAAAAAAGGCAAAAATATTCATCCAAATTAGAGAATTGAAGATATCCTCATGAAATGAACAAATCTCAGAGAGGACCACATTTAGTGCCAATATATATAATATCAAAGCAATTGAAATTGCGTTTTTTAACAAGAAGTCGAAAATATCACTTTTTACCATAAATGACAAAAATATTCATCAAAATTAGAGAATTGAAGATATCATCATGAAATGAACAAATCTGAGAGAGGTCCACATGTAGTACCTATATATGTAATATCAAAGCAATTGGACTTGCGATTTTTAACAAGAAGTCGAAAATATCACTTTTTACCAAAAATGACAAAAATATTCATAAAAATTAGAGAATTAAAGATATCATCATGAAATGAACAAATCTAAGAGAGGTCTACCCAAGGTACATATACACCAAGTATCAAAGCATTCAGGCTTATAGTTTTCAAGAAGAAGTCAAACAAGTAAAACATTGACACGGACGACGGGCGACAGACGACAGACGACGGACGCCGACGGACAATCACTCATATGATAAGCTCCGCTCGACAAAGTCGACAGCGAAGCTAAAAATGACAAATCATTATGCAAATTAGGTGATTTATATGATTTTTATTCAAAAATAATTAGGTCTACGCATACCAAGCTTCATTGAAATGCAGCTTGGAATATCAGGGGAAAAGTACTAATTAATATGCATGGATTTTTACCCAAAACTAATCAGGTCGACGCACTGTCCCAGAGCACCTAGGTACCAAGTTTCATCAAAATCCAATGACTGTTTTTTTAGATATCAGTAAAATAGTCGTGGAATGGCTGAAAATTAGCTAATTATCATGCATATTAGGTAATTAATATACATGGCTTTCAACCAAAACCTAATAAAATCTGTGCATTAGCCCAGAGCATTTATGCATCGAGTTGCATCAAAAACCAACATGTGGTTTTTGAGATACCGGGGTATCAGTGGAATGAACAAATACACACACACACATACATACAGACAAACTGCAAAGACTCCCATTGTGTGCTTCGTACACGGGAGTAAAAAATTTCAATTATTGATGGCAATCAATAATAATAATCTTGAACAATAAATCCATGTCACATCTTACATATTGATGATGTTGTATGATCATATAAAATTTTGAATTCCCAAGTCTTCTATCGTTAATTTTTTTGTTTTGTTTTTTTTTAGCTTCGCCATGCCTTTATTTTTCTTGTTTGCATTTTTGTGTGCATTGTATTCATTCCAATTAAATTTAATAACTTCCCGTCCTTGAGAAAGACATGAAGATTCACACAGAGCATCTAATACACACATGTATGTCAGTGATTCCATAACCATGTGCAGATCCTGGACCTTTGACTTAATTTGTTAGTCACAAATTGTTAAGATTGAGACACTAAGTGTGATCTACATATGTCACTCGCCATCCACTACGTTTTGTTGAAAACAGTTAGCATTGGCAGGCAGACTAAAGGGTTTGATGTAAAATAAATCAAATATAGCTGATAGATTCTGTAATTAGAGGTATAATAAACTGGCCATTCAATACTACATACATGCTACATGTACAGTATGCTATGAAAAACCTTGAGTCAACAATGAAATTATATGTAATATATGCTTGGGACCGCACTATGACTATGAAGTACTGGTGTCTTGACGTGTGATAAGTATGTACCGGTATACAAAAAGGAGTTCTTTAGATCTACTAGCAGTAGGACAACTCTTAATATAAGTAGGTGTGGCCATCTTAGTTGACAGATATATTATTATTATTATTATCACCTATTATTTTCATGCACAAAAGTTGTGGGGTTTTTATAACACATACCTACTTCAAAAACAGGCAGGGTAGGTTAAATCATACATCACTTTAAATACTGTAAAATACTTTATTTTAGCTGGAATTAATTTTTGCTAACAAGAATCTTTGGGTGTTTTGTATTTTCACTGATTTTTGACGAGTTGAATGTAAAATATAAGGAAAAAGGTATATTCGCTGAATTTTATTTTCAATGAATCATTTCTTCAGTGAAAATAGCGAAAATTAATTCCAACCAAAAATAAAGTATTTTACTGGCAGTACATTGTGTTTACTTGCTGATCACTTCAAACCATGTTTACCAGTAAGGATATTTACATTTGAATAAAAGTTATTCAATTTTGCAAAATTTCTGGATAATAAATTAAGTTTGTGTGTGATTTTGCACCATGTTTGGCCAACAAAATTTTAGGGAAGTCGAAAAATTTTAAATAGGGTAGAGTTATCTGAACCATGTATTCTTCTCGCTAGGGCTAAAACAGAGCATCAGTGAAATAATATAGAACCTGAAGTTCGATCACAAACTGGTTTTCAATTTCTGACACTACAATTTACAGAAATATAAACCAGAAATTCAGTTCCTATACCACATTATAAACAAATTTGTGGTTACCTGAAGATAAATGAGATTATCGACACAAGGGTTAAAGGGTGGAGGCAAACCAATAACTCTCACTGGGCCAAAGAGTTCTCAAATATTTAAACAACATTTAGTAATCTTAAAGGCTTGAAACATAAATCAATATTTAGTATGCACACCCAAGAAGCAAATAAATGGTTGCAAACCATGGATGAAGAAGAAGGCGATTATGTTTTAATTGATTCTTTTGAGGGATTAAGGGAGTTGAGCTTTCTTGCTTCTAAAAATAGCATGAACATCAATGTATTTGTAATAAATACAATATTTCCAACCACTTTAGTTCTCATGAGAAGTATGCAGTATTACAAATAGACTTTTCAACCTTTTCGACACCAGACTTTCTCAGCCAAATTTTTCTTCACTTTTTTTCTTATATTCTTCAATGTTTCTGGAAATGAACCCTAATTTTGGAGCCAACAGACAAAATTTTAATCAATTGTGTTTTTATTCAAACTGAAAATTTGGCCCAATTTTTGTCCCAATCTTCTGAAGGAAAGTGCAGACTATAAACGAGACTATTTTGTGAATTTCTGATGAAAAGAGAGAACTGGTGGTGAAAAGATTAAGCATTTTTTGTCATATAGATTTACTTTTACATGAATGTCTGGACATTTAATATTAATGTCGGTGTCACTTGACTTAGCAAACTATTAATAGTGAAAGTATATAATTCTTATCTCATAAGAATCATAGCAATTTAATGTGATATGCAGGTCCAGAAAATACAAATAATTAACCTATGTACAAAGTTGCAATGGCGAATGAATCTCAGGAAGAATTTCTCTCATCAAAACTGCAAATTATATTATGTATGTCATTTCTAAAAATAATATTGAATTTTATTTCGAGTTCAACTTGATAGGCCCTGCATGCGATGAACTCTTTCATGTTAGCAGCAAACGTTGCCCATGATCAGTGTCAGTATGAGGTTGCTACACTTCCAACACAACCATAATCATTATTGTCGGTCTGATGTAAACTCCAGTTAGATCAAATATGGTACTCTGATAGAGCATATGTTTGTGAAATAGGTTAACCTACTTCAGGTGGCAGTCCATCACAGTGAGTATTATCACAACTTGAAATCTACAACAACATAATTAACTTCAAGTTTTCGACAAACTCAAATGAAGTTGTCCTTCACAAGAGAAAGCAAAGCAATTCAATGTAGTGTGTAAGCCTGTCACATTTTAGATACTCAGGGTACTCAGTCAGGTAGACTAGGAGAGTAAATAACTAAACAGAATCAAGACAACCCTCCAAAACTTGCATTTATTTGTGCCATTTCATGCAAATACAAATCTCATCAGAAAATGAACAAATCTGACTAAGGTCCCACCAGTGTGTCTAATCTGGCTAGTCGTTTTCAAGAAGAAGTAAAAAAAAACATTTTTTACCCGAAATATTCACTAAAATATTAAAGAATTGAAGGTGTGCACACACAAAAAATAATCTGACTGAAGTTCACTAAAGGTGTCTGCATATAAAATATTGAAGAAATTGGGCTAGCCATTTTCAAGAACAATAGAAAATCAAAGAAAGCTTAGAAAGAACTCCCGTGTGCTGAGAGTATTGAAGACACATTAAAAATTAATTAAAAATTACCTGTACATGAGATATTGATAGAAAAGCTGAAAACTAATTATGTACATCAGGTAACTAATATGAACAGAACAGAAACCCAAAATTAATCAGGCCTGTCTATTGTCCTAGAGCATTTATGTACCAAATTTTATTCAAATGTGATGATCAGTAATTGAGATATCAGTGTTAATTAATTATGTTAATTAGGTGATTAATAGGCATAAATATTTACCAAAAACTAATTGGGTTTCTGCATAGTTCTCTTCTCTATATACTGATATTAGCCTAAAACTATCAGGTCTGTGCAGTGTCCTATGACATCTATGTACCAAATTTCATTGAAATGTGATGATTACTACTTGAAATATCAGAAGCTGAAAATTAATTAACTATGCTAATTAGGTAATTAATATGTACTCGTATTACCCTAAAAACTATCAGGTCTGTGCAGTGTCCTATGACATCTATGTACCAAGTGTCATTGAAATGTGATGATTACTACTTGAAATATCAAAAGCTGAAAATTAATTAATTATGCAAATTAGGTAATTAATATGTACTCATATTACCCTAAAAACTATCAGGTCTGTGCAGTGTCCTATGACATCTATGTACCAAGTTTCATTGAAATGTGA